ATGATTAGTCCACTGAACTTTTCAATTTTCTCTTTGACTCTACCTTCAACCTTTCCTATCTTTCTTCTCATGTTCATCCAAATGGGCAGCCAAAAGACAGCAAACCAAAACTGGCACACGATAGTGCATGGTTAATCGTTGTACAAAATGAACTAAACTGATGGGACTCGATCGAATTCGTGAACACGATCAGAGAACAGAAGATTAACGACGATCAAATGTTTTCTCGTGATGTGTTATCATTATACAGGAACGGAACGGAAACGGTTGATTTCACCGGTAACTCCATCGAATAAAATAGAGTCGATATAAAAGTGTAGGTAAGAAAACTAAAACAACTGACTGCTACTGCAGTTCACTTTTGACGTTTAATTTCTGTCTAGCTGTATCTTCAAAGGAATGGTGTAGCTATGGGCTGTCCATTGCGCCCGATAATAGTGGATGCTTTTATCGTCATACTAGAGAACTCATTCCTGGAGTCTGAAGTTGGAAAGATGAAATGCTACAACCTATAAGTCGACGATACATTTTATACTACCGACAAAGAGAACGACGTGACGCACCTTATGCAAACATCTAAAACGGCTCACAGGTCTATAAATTTCACCGTGGAATCAGAGAAAGATAGTAAACTAGCATTTTTTGACGTAGTTCTTTACAATACAATTGATGGACTGCTTGAAAAAAGGATTTACCGAAAAGAAACATGGACCGGACAGTACACCAGCTTTTACAGTTTCGTGCCACCTCAACAAAAAGCAACCTTATTCAGTGCCTTGTCTCGCGTGCACGAAAGATATGCTCCGAATCCACGTTCGCAGATAAACGTGATCAGATTAAAAACATTCTAAGGTGAAACGGATACTTTGAAAGATTTATCGAATGAAACAGAAGAAAAAATAAGTCGGATCCCGTTCAGGAGACGGCGAAGAAGAAGTTGTTTATTTAACTGACATTCAAAGGAGACAACCGGTCTGATGTGATTAGAGAACGTTTAGCGCTTGTTATGAGGGGAATTTTTAATTCAGCCAATTTGTCATGCGTATTGACTGGTTCACCATTTGATTTTGTCCTGTGAATCTTCACTCTGATAAATCTAAAACACCGAGTGAGCTCTGAGATCGTTACCTTTTTCGTTTACATTGTCTCCCTTGAATTGTCATTCTTATTCAAAAAAGCTTGATGATTCATGACAGGTTGTACCAACGAACAAGCCCACATTTTTGTTGTTGCTTAGTTCTTTGGTTCATGCAATCCGTACAGGGACCCCAAAGCTGGATATCAGCTGAATCTAACACTCGGTTATCGTATCGATTTTCCATTGCACTTGTCCATCAACTCTATTACTCTGCGATTTCAGGTAGTCCAAGCGGTCTCACGAAACAACGAATGCCTTGTGGACATGGCTGCCTCACAATTGTTACACTCGATGGTTATGCTGTTTCCCAGTCTACCCCAATGTGAGTGTTGCTACGTTCATATTGTTCCCTCTGCCCCAATGCTCTCCCTTCCCCTCCCCCTCCCCCCCCCCGCTCCCCTCTCTCTCTCTCTCTCTCTGTCTCATCTGTTTCTCACCGTGGTCCGGTATTGGTGAATTGCTATCCGTCGTCTATTCACTGTTTAGTCTGAAAATAGTCACGATTCCCGATCGAAGATATCGGAGTCGAACATCGAATGGGCGGTGGTGGTCCGGTGGTAACGTCACCAAATTATCACTTCGGGGGACGTGTGTTCGAACCCCACCATCACTGCCTGACTTTTCCCATGGCAGCCGTTTGATTGGCAGTTTTCCCTTTCCTGAAAATTGTATCATTGTTTATTCAACAAAAAGGAAGTAAAATTAAAAAGAATAGATGGTATTAGAATATTTGACTATCGTTCAACTATCTCTCCCAAGACCAGTCAGTGAATCGCGGAATTTCTGTTGAATATTTTCATGAAATCAATTCCCTTTCACATTTTCATGAGAGCAAGAAGAATGTGCTGAATTCGACTAGTTCGCGATAATCTCTCTCATTAACTATGTACAGTAGATTCAGATCACGTTTGGTTAAACAGTGACATCTAATTGCGATGATGGCCGATAAAGGGAACTGGACAGCTATTTCGTTCTGTTAAGAACAGGTCAACAGTGCGTCCTTTTTAGGACGAACCGCGAGCCTTCGATTTGTAACCTATACTACGGTCGACGATCATCATCCCGCTTACATACATTCAACTAATGGGGAATTAACTATTTCCCAAGGAATGAAACCCACACTGAAGACCGTCACCAGAGTGTCCGGTGTCCCTGTAAAATTGAACAAGTCAATCCAAACTTGCTACTCTAAAAAGGGTGGCAGGTTTGGGAACAAGCGAACACATACGGGGGAAGAAATCAATCAATCCATAGGCAGACCAAAGGTCACTAATTCGAACTGGAAGCGGTTATAGAGACAGGGAGCGTAATCGGGTTAGGTGACTTCGTTGGCCTCAATCTTGTTTACGTGTAGATTACTAAGAGCAAATGTGTAACTACAACTAATAAATACCCTGGCTATGCATTATATATATAATCATCCCGGAAAGAAAACAATTTGATTTTGTATTTTTGTATTTCACACATGTCTGAATCCAGATTGCGTCAAACCAATCGTTGTGCAATAATCTTAGTAAAACAAAAAAAAATTCCACGATTTTTTTTGGGTGGAATACTGCCAGGTTGCCCAGACCAAGGCAGGTGATTTTTCTTTGAGAAGCCCACAATCGGAGCCTTCGACTAGGCAAAAACTGACCCGCAAAGCAGTGGGAGTGGGGGCGGTATTTGAAAACGGCGATCCGTTGGGGGCTGGTGTCCAGTACAACAGTCATGGTTCGTTTGGCACATAATATGCTCTGAGATGTGTGTGAGAATATGAAATAGGACATAGGTTATTTATTTTGAAGCGAAATGATAACAAATGCAATGCATTAGAGATTAGAAAAATCACTGCTGACATTGTCATCATCGGAATAATTATTCAAACTGTTACGGCAGATGTGCAAATGCAGGGATTTCGTTTATGTCTAACTGGCAGCAAACTAGTGTTCTGTACGCTAGTAGCATGCTGACATTTTCGTAAAATCTTCAATTCTATCCACTTGTGGTTTCAGTTGTTCCTTTGGTCCCCCTTCAAACACACAGCCTTTTCTCCTCGATCGTATACACGTGTCTACCGACCTCTAATCCTCATTGTCATTCAAAATTATTGTTGTTTTCAGGTCATCAATTGTTGGTTGAAACATTTGATCACTTGGTCATGTCTACTGCTCTACTCAAAGAACTGGTATACTGTGGTGGTCTGATCTATCTGCTCGAAATTCTGGTTCGATCCCCCGTGCGACGAGTTCGGGAAGCCACGATCAGTCTACTGTCTCATTGCTTGGTTGACAAACAAGTTGGGCGACGAATTCAGGCCCTACTGAGCCAGTATCTACCCCCGATCTTCCCGGAGACAATGCGTGATACCCCGGAGGCGTTTCTCACTTTGTTCGACTGTAAGCGCACCTCGCATTCTCATTTGTCTTTTCCCCACATAATCTAACCGAATTAAGAGCGGTATAAATTTCAGCGATAACAATGCGTCATCAGCTCGTACTGAGTGATACTTGTGGCATGACGTCGGTTGTTTTCGACTGTTCTAATCTAGTCCACATTCTAGCCACAAATAGATTGTCTGTCTGAATTCTTCGACTCTTTCTAAAAACTGTGAACTATCGAGTGTACAAGGAAATGCAAAGTTTTGAATTAAGCTAGCTAACACTTACACTATGCGAAGAAGAATCATGCATGTTCTACTCTCTTTCACATCGGGTTATATTGCCGCACTCTGTGCTTCCATTTCAGTCTAGCATAAGACGGTTTTGCTCTCCTGTTTATTCGAGGTCTTGTGGAAAACGCTCAATCCTCCTCCTCCTTGTTTATTGATAATTAGACAATAGTCGTACAAAATCCAGTTGTTCCCCAAAATCGTTTTGATGATAAATAACTACAGCCTAGGTACGCATATGGGCATGGGCAGCTCTGGTGGTCGGCAGCTTTGCTGTTATCCGGTTCAGTACCACGCCCCTAACCTATCGTGGGCTTATGTGGGCATAGGTAACCACTTTCCATCACTGATAAGCAGGTCTGCGTGACTACGGGGCTTTCCCCGTCTGCTGTTCATCACACGAAAGTGTGTAATAAAAAAGTAATCACTTCATTTCGCAATATATTCAGCAATGAACAGCTCGGTTGCCGTTCCTTTTCATGTCATCATGTCTGGATCATTAGAGCTTCAAGTATGTCCACCACTCCAAGCCCCTCAGTTCAGATAATCCGTTCGCATGTCCGGATAAAAGATTTTAGTGGCTGTGGGACCTATCACTGTTCTACTGGTTCCCATACCTATTTGTGTCGCGGCACAACAAATAGAAATCATGGTTGCAAATTCTGTACCAAGAGAGCGTCTGGTGGAACATACAAGTTGTGAGAAAACACACAGTAGCGAACAGGCTCGTTTGCGGTGATTCTTCTACAGACTAATACATCACAATTTCAATCAAACTGTTTGGCAGNGGGGGGGGGGGGGCTGGAGAGATCAAGACAAGTTGGAAACGAGATAAGCACCGTTCCAGTTCCATGACCGGATGATGTTGCTTACATTTTGGTCATCACAGATGCGCACTGGTTCGGGTCATCAGGGGTGGGTGGGAGGATGGCTGTTTCGTGTGTGGTGTTGCTGGCCATGGAAGACCGAGTGTGGTCTTACGAATTGTTTTTTAGGAGCATAGGGAGGGGGGGGCGGATTATGTAGATGGATTCCGATCGCTTCCGCTATGGCTAAAAT